AGGCTTGTAGGGAGATTGTTATCTCTCTATGACCCGTCCAGACATTGCATATGCTGTTGGTGTCCTCAGTCAGTTCATGCATGCACTTAGGTCCACTCATCTTGAAGCAGCAGAGAGGATACTACGATATCTTAAGAAGTTTCCTGGCGCTGGCTTGTTATTTCAAAGGCACGGGCATTTGAGAGTTGAAGTTTATACAGATGCGGATTGGGCTGGATCTCAAAGTGACAGAAAGTCTACTAGTGGTTACTGCACCTTTGTAGGGGGGAACCTCGTTACTTGGAGGAGTAAAAAGCAAACCGTGGTGGCTAGATCCAGTGCTGAAGCTGAATACCCTACAACGGCCCACGGAGTAGCTGAAGGTATGTGGATAAAGAATCTGTTGAATGAGTTGGGTTTCCCAGTGGACAAACCCATAACTCTATTCTGTGATAACAAAGCAGCTATAAGTATTGCTGCTAACCCGGTGCTACATGACAAAACAAAGTACATCGAAGTTGACAAGCATTTTATCAAAGAGAAAGTCATCACAGGCGAAGTATGTACTCCCTATGTCAGCTCTGAAGACCAACTGGCAGACATCTTTACAAAAGGGCTAAACTATTCCAGACATCATGATCTCTGTGACAAGTTGGGCATGATTGATATCTATGCCCCAACTTGAGGGGAGTGTTGACAGATGTTGTTGTACACTGGTTTAGTACCGCAGGGGTATTTCTGTAATTTTTTCCATTCTTTATGTTGTACGACCGGTATAGTATAAATAACAACTGCTTCACTCGCCTAAAGCATTCTTTTGAGGCATTCAGTCCTCTCGCCTCTCCTCTCTTCTCTTGTTCAACACCTACTGGTAGATTTTCTTTCACCCATAGAACCAGCCCAAATGGCATTAGTGTATACCTCTACCTTCATGTGATCATGCTTCTTAAATCTACTTGTCTGAAATAGATGGTAATCTGACCTGGTTTTGATAAGAAATCAGAAAAAGAAAGAAGAGAAAAAGGGAAAAGAGAGAAGATGAAGAGAAGAGAAGAGAGTAAAAGAAGAGAAATGGAGAGAATGAGAGAAAAAGGGGTGCAGAATCTTATGGCCCTGGTTCCCCAATGATTGTTATTTATGTTAAAATAAATAAAAGGAGATACAAAGACAAGAATACCCCTGCTGCCTATATGAAAGAAAGAAACAATAATAAATAACAGTAAGCAATAATAAAACAACAATAAATAGTGTGACCACAAGCCTAATTATTAGTATCCCTACACTCCCCCTCAAGTTGGGAATAGATATTAGTCATTCCCAACTCGCATAGGTCTGCCTCCAGCTTGACGTTGGTAACTGCTTAGATTAAGAAATCAGCAAACTGCATACCAGAGGCAACATAAGGAAGACATACTTCTTTGCTTCAGAAGGAAGGTCAAGGGTTTTGGATCTTTAATAATGAAAAGAAAAGGTTTAAGTGGTTGACACAATATGGAAGTGAAGTTTAATTTGGCAAAATGATCTGCAAATGGGATTGCTGATGTACTAGTAAAGCAAGGGGTGGGAAGGAGTCATTTGTTTTGGGCTCAATTGTAATAGCTAAGTTCTGTTATGGAAAGTTAAGAAAGTTTACCTCTCCTATTTTGTAACTGTTCTATATTAGTCTTAATGAAATTCCGTTATTGATCAAGAAAAAACAAAGAAAGAAGATGGTCTGATGCCTTTCTCCTCTTTTCCTCTAATATTTATTAAACTTAATAAGAACAATTACAAATCTGCCCTTAAAGGGGCAGCTAGCTCAGTCATACTTAAAATAAAACAAAAAAAGTTAACAGGCCCATAAAGACAAAGCCCTTTAACAGACAACAATTAAAAACAAAATATAGCACAATGATGCTCTAGGGCCCACTCGGCCCAATCTCTCTACATGTTAGATAGGCTTAGTTTGGCAAGGGTACAAATACAAATATATACAGTGCAAATACATACAAAATAATACAAGGTTTTGCACTCACATATTTGTATTTGTACTCCCTCCAAACTGAGCCATAATAAAAACCTATTCAGGGACCTTACCTAATAGTTGAAGCTTTTAGTTTAAAGGGTTCCTTGAGATGGTATCCGAGCCTATGTGACCAAATGGTCTAGTGTTCAATCCTAGTCACCCCCATTATCTTTTAATTAAATTTCAACACAAGGTATTGGTGGGCCTGTGCTTGTCCACGCTTCAAGCCTGATGGGCATTTTCTAGGGGTGTGTTAGAGAACAAAACCATTCAGGGACGTCACCTAATTGCTTAAGCTTTTAGGCTGAAGAGTTCCTTGAGAATGTTCATTCCCTAAAAACATCCCATCTTGTAGATGAAGAAACATAGATATTTGGAAAAGCATCCAAGATGGATATTTTGTTGTTATATGGAAGTGGAGTTGTACATTGCTGCTGGTTGGGCAGGATCTTTTAATGATAGAAGATGTACTACTGGTTATTGAATATTTGTGGGTAGTAACTTAGTGACTAGGAGAAGTAAGAAACAACAAGTGGTTGTTTGATAGATCAAGTGCAGAGGTGGAGTACTAAGCTATGGCTCATGGTGTAGGAAAAGTTTAGTGGATTAAGAACCTTATGGGAGAGATGGGATTCGCTATTGATAGCCCTTTTCACTTTGTTGTGGCAATAAGTTTGCCATTAACATTGCTCCTAATTCATTGTTACGTGACCAAACATAACATATTAAAGTTGATAGGCATTTCATTGGGGAAAAACTTGAAAGGAGTGAGGTGTGTATATGAAGGTGAGCCTTGACGCAATGGTATAAAACTTGAAAGGAGCATGTACACCATATGTAAGCGTTAAAGAGCTATTAGCAAACATTTTTACAAATGGTATAAATGTCCTGCACCATAATGAATTCTGCAACAAATTGGAGATGAATGACATTTATGACCCAACTTGAGGTAGAGTATTTGTAATGTGTCTTGTTATTAGTTCAGGGGCAAACTTGTCTTTTTCTTTTTTCTGTAACCCTAATAATATAAGAATGGGGGTACCAGAAACTGAGATTCTCTCTATAAATGTCAATAGAGGGGGCAGTTGGCCCCAACTCCCCCCCCCCCCCAAAATTTTCTTCTCCTGTTTTCTCTCTTCTTTTCTCTACTATCTCTCTTCTCCTTTCCTCTTGTTTCTGAGATATGGCAGAAAAGCAGCCTCATCTCCGTCATGTCCCATTAAATGAGGTTTTCAATCATCCCATGAATATGAATATCTTTTGCCTTCTTTATCTTCTACTGTGATTTAGGTTCTAAATTTTGCTCATGGTTTGCCTCTTCCTTGCCTCCAGTCTCTTAAATGGCTCTTCAGAATGGGCATCTACTCCTAAGAAAAGAAGGCCTAGAATTAGTATTTAGACACTAGCACCTTTTGCTGCAGCACTTAATCAATAGGTAACGACTTCCCTAGAGAGCATGCCTCTTCTATTTAAACCTAGCCTTTATCCAATTTTTTGATGAATAATAATAAATTTAAGACCCTAACATGTTCTTGTTTGGGCTTGCCTCGAGCCTTTATCCAATTCCATTCTCCCATTTCTTGAGCACTCCCTCCTTGAGACCTTCCTGCCTTCCGAAACCTTCTCATTCACTTCTATGCTTCACCACTAGGAAAGTTAATTATTTTCTCATTCTCTATATACCAAATAGTTGTCAAGGCATCTTGGTGATTTTGAGCAACAGTCGCCTAGTCAACTAGGTGATACGAATTTTATATAATAAAGAACTAAATTTTGGATAGGTCTCTAGTTTTATACTATTAAGAATGCATGTTAATTGAAAGAATATCTACTCTCTTCATTAAGAACATTAAATTTCCTCTTAAAAAATGACAAATCATCATATCTAAAAGAAAAAAGTATTCTAAATATTTTAATTTCAATTTTTTCAAAAACAATACTGATATAATAAGTATTTAATAAAGCAATTTCATGTCAATTAGCAACTAAATAAGATTATAATTTTGTATGGTAACATTTAAATAGAAAGTAAAAAGAGAAAGGATAAGAGTGGAGCTGATATTTTATTTAGTGTAAGAGATAAGTAAATACAAAGAAAAAAAAAGAAGAAACCTCTTTGTACTTCTATTCTTCCTTTCTTTTTCCCCTGTCAAAACCCCTTGATCATTTAAATTTCAATAGTAAAAATTTAAAAACAATGTATTAATGATATAAACACACATACACAATAGAAATGATTTAAGCGCTAATAAAGGACATGGGTCCAAGTAGTAAGAAATGATTTAAGCGCTAATAATTTAACAATGCATATGGCATGAAAGAGAACAGAATGGTGAAACAGGATTCATGAAGGTATTGACACACATATTAGTAAGATGTATGGCACACATAGTAGATGATGATGATAGTATATAGTAGAAGGTATTGATACACATAATAAGGTGCATACTTTGTCATTTTTGTCGCCTAGGCAGGCACCTTGTTGCTATAGCCTATATGTCAAGGCATTTAGGTGAGGCATCAAGCCAAGGGCACCTAGGTGACACCTTGGCAACTATGTCCTCCAATGGTTCACCTCATTTAAAGCCATGACCTCTGGATGCATAGAAGCACCATCACCGTATCATCTGTAGAGAACTACTCTCCACCTTCCTAAACAGGTCCAGACCTACCTTGAGTCCCACTTGGATGCCCTCCATTGGCTACAGTGGAGCTTAGAAACACACCTTGTGATTCTGAGGACTTATGGTGCCGTCTTTTGGCTTAAACATGATCTCAGCAATATTTCAATATACTTTTAGATTATAAAAATGATACTGATGAAAAAATTAATTATCTTTATGATGCAATCAATGATTTGTTGTTTGATTGTCAACAACTGTATTCTGTATCTTTGTTTGCTTCCTTAACAAGTAGTTTGAGAATATGTTGCTTTCAGCATTCAGAAGAATTTCCTTTTCTTGCATAATATTTATCTTTTCTTATATTTTATTCGTTCTAATTTTTTCATCTACAGGTCGGGGTTGCCTACCTTTTGGCTCTAGAAAATGCAAATAGTTTGACTGTACCCCCAACAGAAAATATTGAATTGGATCGGTAATCCTTCAAGCAATTTATAAAATTTTCATAGCTGCAGATATATTCTTGTTAAGTCAATAGTGCTGCTGATGTTTGGATATCTCTGCTCAAATTCTTAGTCACTAACACCATATTTAGGATATGCAGAACTAAACTTTGAAATGAAGCTTGATTATTTGACCAGGTTGAATTGCAATGCAGATCAGCCTCTATGGCAATATTTTATTTCTCCTTTCTCATTATTTTCCTGCAGTTGGACACTATGCATATTTCCATTATTTTGTTATTCTATATGAGTCTAGCTTGGAGTTTTATCTTTAGGTTGAAAACCATACATCTCTGGGGTAGGTGGAGTGTATGAGAATTGAATTAGCTGATCAATGTTTACTGCCTAGAGATTGAATCTAGATACTTTTTCCCAAAAATCAAGAAATACCAGTTATATTAAAAATTGTGTTGAATGTGCACCCCTTCCTCAAATCTGTTGTGGAACTCAGGCTTTTATTGGCTCATTTTTATGAAGAGCACATCAAGTTTCAGAGAATTAGGAAAGGGAAGCCTAGTTATCTGGAATCGGCTTAATCTCATCATCATCAACAACAACATCGTCTAGGATTACTACCTACGGGGAGTCCCAACTAACCAAATGGCCAATTACTCACCTCACACTCTAGAATTTCAATGCAACTTTTCACATCAACCTCAATCATATTAACGCCCAGAAGACATCTTTTACCAAAATTGACTTATTGGAAATTTCTTTAAACCATTTGATCATCAACAATGCTTAAGTTCCAAGCTTCCTCTTCCTCTCTATCCACACAAACAATGCTTAAATTGTCTGCAAATCAAATGTTAATAATGATGACCTGATCCCTCCCAACTCTCCAACAATGAATCAGCGTAAACCTATCAACCATTGATATTAAGTGGCTAAGGGCACTACTAAAACAGTGAAGAGAAAAGGACAGAAGTAGGTCTCCTTGTCAGAAACCTCTTCTAGTGGAAAAGAAATCCTTGATCATCCTATTAAATAGTAAAGAGTAATGCCACAATATAGGCAACAATCAGCAAGAGTAACATCGTCAGATTAAATACCAAAAGGTGTTGTTTGGGCAACCCAGGAGCCTTTATTTTCAAAAACATCCACTAGATTCAAGGATTGGTGTTTAAAGATTGTAATGGGAATGCAATATCATTATTCTTCGGTCTAATTGGCTATGGAGATTTCATAAAGGTGGAATTGTTGGCTGTGATACATGGACTTAATCTAGGAAAACCTCTAAATTTCAGGAATATTGAGTTAGAATGTGGTCTAAGATTATGATGGGCTGCCTCATGCACAGTAATATAGGCCCTTTGATCCATAGACAAGCAATGAGAGAAATAACAAAACTCACAGGAGAAGTAGATACATTTAAATGGGCACTCATCAAATAATATTATGGCTGATTCTTTGGCTAGACAAGGAGTAAATAGAACCTAACTGTCTTGGAGGCAAACTTTCCAAGGGGAAAGGGTTGTAACTTGAAGTAGAAATGGCTAGACTATATGCTTGATCATGTCTCTCTCCAGTCCCTTAACCATGTTTTATTAAAACTGATTCTAATTTAATGTACAATTACACAGGGGCCCTTGATAGGGTGGTTGAAGTGATAATAATAAAGAAACAAAGAAACTAGGTACACAACTAAGGCCAATTAACTAATAAATAAAAAGAACTAATGAACCCAATAATAAGAAACTAAGGTCCAATTAGCTCATCATCTCTATACTCATCAAGCTGAGCATAGATGTCAATCGTGCCCAGCTTGGTTACATAGTGTTGCAACTATACCTAAGGAACACCCTTAGTTAGAACTTATAACATCTACTAACTGCACCTCTAAAGCCATGAAAGGGAGGCAAACTTCCCTTGTAGCTACTCTTGTTTGTCCACCTCAATATGCTTCGTTCTATTATGCTGAATTGGGTTATGAGCAATGCTGATGGCGGCTTGATTATCACAATATAGCATAAGGGGTTTGTCATAAGTAATGCTCATTTCCTCTAGAATAAACTTGAGCCATAACAACTCTAAAACCCTATGGACCATGGCCTTGTACTATGCCTCAACTAAGGATCTAACTTCCACAAACTAACTTTTACTTCTCCAAGAAACAACATTCCCAACAACCAGAGCATAGTAACCTAATGTGGATCTCTTGTCACCAATACTACCTGCCCTGTCAACATCTTATAAGCTTCTAACTTCATGTGTCCATGTTTGACAAAGAGAATACCCTTCCTAGGTGTTCCTTTCAGATAACATAAAACCCTCGCTGCAGCAACCCTAAGTGTGCCTTTAGGGGCATGCATAAACTGATTGATTACACTCGTCACATATGAGATATAAGGCCAGATGTAAATAAGTCCTCTAAAACTGATATAAACTTGGTTAAAAATAGAGAGAAATGTAGAAGAAAGGTAGAAGACAGCAGTACAAAGGAAGAAGATGGATAAAAGAAGAGTAGGTTACATACAAGTATGCCCTTAAGTGGGCAGCCAGCTAAGCAAGAACTAAGAAGCTTACAAAGAGTAGTAACAGGCCCACAAAGACAAGCCCATTAACAAAACAAATAGATAACACATTACAAAGAATAAAAGGATCGATATTAGGGCCCATTTGGCCTAGTTTCTCTACACTCCCCAACTTGCTTATATAGTGTGTCAACTTCCCTATTGGAACTTCCTTGGTCAACACATCAGCCAACTGCTCTTCTCAAGCAATAAATGGCAAGCAAAATTCCCCTGAAGCAACTCTTTCCCGTATAAAATGTCTATCAACCTCAATGTGCTTAGTTTTGTCGTGTTGAACAGGATTGTGAGCAATGTTGATAGCTGCCTATTTGTCACAGTAGAGCATCATTGGCTTTTCATAGTCAACTCCCAATTCTTCTAAAAGTGATTGCAGCCACAAAAATTCTGGCACACCATGTGCCATTGCCTTGTACTCTGCTTCAACAGAGGATCTAGAAACTACAAATTGTTTCGTACTCCTCCATGAGACAATGTTCCTTGCCACCAAAGCACAATATCCCGAGGTGGACCTCCTATCATCAATATATCCAGCCCAATCAGCACCAGTGTATGCTTCCAGTTCTAGCTTCATGTGTTCATGCTTAGCAAATAAAATACCTTTCCCTAGAGTACCTTTCAACTAACACAACTCTTTCTGCCGTAGCTAAATGTGTATCTCTGGGAGAATGCATAAGCTGACTAATAACACTCACTGCATAGGAAATAGTTGGCCTAGTCATGCAGAGATATAACAACTTCCCAAGTAGTCTCTGAAACACTCCCCTATCAGACAAAAGTTCACCATCAGTAGCAGAAAGTTTACGATTGGGATCTATAGGGGTGGAGACCGGTTTAGCACCAAGTTTACCAATCTCTGCAAAGAGGTCAAGAACATACTTGCGTTGAGAAATGAAATTACCATCCTTAGATCTAGCAACTTCAATTCCCAAGAAGTACCTGAGATTATATGATATATACTCACCAACTTGAGGGGGAGTGTTAGTGTAGGGGTATTTCTGTCTTTATTATGTTGAGGTTGTTGATCTGTTATATTATATTAGAACTAGTGTCCCTCACTTAAATAAGGGCACATGTGTCTTTTCCATTATATTAATAATATAAAAACATGTCTGGCCGAATGGGAGAAAAACTTTTCCCTAATTCGAACCAGACTTTTCTTCTCTCCTTTTCTCCTCCTTTCTCTCTCTCTTTCTTCCTTCTTTCTTCCTCTTTCTTCTTGGCTGTTATCAGACTAACAGAACTCAAAGGCAGGCCGAATTATAACAGGGTCTAACCCTGGCAACTGAGACAAGCTACCCCAACCTACTTGGCGGCACATTAGTGTCAGCCTTGGCAGGATAAACTTCCCCAAGTCTATCCAACGGCTAAGAACTTTCTAAAGTAACACGAGTCTCATAAGTGTCCAATTTAAGGGTAATTACATAGAAACACACCAAATATAACATGAATCAATTATATACTTTTATTCATTTACAATAAATGTAAATGCACATCCATCTAATTGGAGCTAAGGGCATACACTATCTAACACCGCCTACTCTCTTCACTGCTTACCATAGCATATGCCTGGGCCAGGGTGACCCCATCCTTGCTTAGAATATTCTACCTAATAATGTCAAGCTCAAGGTTGAGTCCCATAAGAAACTCAAACACCCTATTTCTTTCACCAATTTCCAAAAGGTCTCTGCATCCTTTGTACTCTCCCATACAACTATCTCCATGACACCAATTTCTTACCATAGAGATTTCAGCATAGAGTAGTAAATTGGCACACTTTTCTCCCCTTCCTCAGATTCTTCACATCACTTTTTAGTTTATAGGCTCTTGCCACATTAAACTTCTGCGAATAGGTCTCCGTAACACTATCCCAAATCTCCTTGGCTGAAGACATCCAAAGGTAATGCTAACTTATATGAGGCTGCATAGAGTTGACCAACCATACGATTACTGTATAATTCTTCTGCATCCATTTCTCAAATGCAGGGTTTGTCTCTTTGGGTTTCACTTTACTTCCTGTGAGATATCCTAATTTGCCTCTACTACAGACGTAAATCCGTATAGACTGTGCCCAAGCTAGGTAATTGGTTTCATCCAACTTAATTGTGGTCACACCAATCAAAACGGAATCTACTAAGCCAAGCCCGAATACCGGCATCTGCTTGAACTCACTTCCGTATAGCTCCATTGATCAAACAAAAATCAAAAAACAATTTTTTTATGCTTTATAAACTTACTTGAAGTCAAAATAGTGCCCAGGTACTTGATAGCTAGGGTTTCACTGCACTCGGTTGTCGGGGAGAAAGAGAGAAGATGCAGTTGCACCTACCAGAGCTTTCCAACTTCTTCTAGGACTTAACTGCACCCTTATAGAAGTCAAAACACACCTCCCAAGCACTAAGTGCCACACCAAAAACTTCTCCTTTACCTATAACTTCGAA